TGCTTGGTATTGATCCTTGGGAAAGAAGACACAGGCAATAATGATGCCAAAGGCCATTACATCATTGGCAAGGAGACTGTTGACATGGACTGGATCTGAAAACTGGTAGAGCTGTGTACAGGGCTATGGGACTTGCTCATCTTCCACAGCTTTGGGGGCAGCACCAGCTCTGGGTTTGTGCCCCTGCTCATGAAACAGTTCTTGGTGGTCTATGGTGAGAAGCCCAAACTCAAATTTGCCGGTCCTCCAGGTTTCCACAGCAATGGTGGAGCCCTACAATTCCTTCCTGATCACCCACATGACCCTGGATCATTCTCACTGTGCCTTCATGGTCACCCAGGAAGCCTCTATGACATATGTCAATGCAACCTGGATATCATACATACCAATCTCAATCATTTGATTGGCAGATTGTGTCCACCATCACCACCTCTCCGCAATTTGACAGTACCCGAATGTGAATTTGACAGAATTCCTAATCAACCTGGTCCCATACCCCCATATCCACTTTCCCCGGGCCACCTACTCCCAAGCATCCCAGCTAAGGCCTATGTTGAGCAGCTGTCTGCGGCCAAGATCACCAATGCCTGCTTCAAACCAGCCAGTCAGATGGCCAAGTATGACCCTTGCCACAGCAAGTACATGGTTTGCAGCATGTGGTATCGGGGTGGGGGTGGGGTGGACACGCCAACGTCCACACAGCCTTTACCAGCATCAGGATGAAGTGCACCACCCAGTGTGTGGATGTTGCCCAACTAGATTTAAAGTGGGCATCAACTACCAGCTCTCCAATTGTCATCCCCAGGGGAGACCTGGCCAAAGAGCAACAGCGTGTGTACATACTGAGCAACACCATGCCATGGCTGAGGTCTGGGCCTGCCTGAACCATAAGTTTGATCTCACGAAGGCAAAGTGAACATTCATACATTGTGCATGGGGGAAGGCATGTAGGAAGGAGAGGTCTCTGAGGCCCAGGAGAACCTGGCATCTCTGGGGAAAGATGAGGAAGAGGTAGGCATGGATTCTGTGGAAGAATACTAGAGTGTTGCTGGCAGCCTGGCTGGTTTCAAGTTGTTTACAATTAAATTTCCTGTATTAAATGATTAAAATCATAACTCTATGAATACTAAAAACCACTGAATTTTCACTTTAAATGAGTGAATTTTATGTTATGTTAATTTTACACACACACACGCACACACACACACGCCATCATATTCAAGCCTGGTAAACCACGGCCATCCTCAAAGCCTGAAAGCTCCCAGTCACAGCTGGGCCATGTAGAAACGGCTTCTTGTCTTCCAAAACAGAGTCATAGCTCCTTCAAATAATGAATCATTCCTACTCCTACCAGGGGCCTCACTAATGAGTTCCCTAGCTTCACACTGGTGAAAATGCCCTACAGATGTCCTGCTTAGGCCAGCTTTCTACCCTTCCCCAAGGTGTCCTGCAACACTGCCTTCCTTGCTTAGGTACAGGCCCACAGATATGGGAACATCTTTGTTGTGTGTGGAAGTCTGTGTCCCACAGCAGAATTTCTCTGCCTGGTGCTGTCCCTGTCCTCTTGCTGTGCTCCCCCTACCCCCCAATCTCACCATCAGACAGATCTACTGCCTACTTCGGATTCCTCAGCTCAGGGAGCCTCAGTCTGTGACATTCAAAACCTAAAAGACAGAAGGCCTCCCAGAGGGGAGAGATGTGAAAGCTAGCTATGGAAAGAACTGAACAGATGTGGGAAGAGAACAGAAAACATTCAGCTTTCTACTCCTTCACTACCTTCAGTGCCCATTCTGTCTTCCCTACTTACACATGACCAGTCCTTCATTACAGTTGGAATAAAACTCTTTACTACTGGAGCCAAACACAGCTTCTTCTCTGAGTGAACTAAAAGGTCATATTGCTTCAGCAAAGCCCTGTATCCCAATGACCCTGGCAATCTAGGTATCTTAGTAAAATTATATACTACGCTAAGACTTTTAGGTTCTATTATGAACTGACCAGAATTCAAAGGAAGATTAAGAATTAAAGGCTAATAACTTCAAGTTTGTGAGGTAGGATAGGATATATTCCTAAGAATTTCTGATTCTCATTCTGGAAAAAAAAAGTTCTCTATTTTTCAAACTGAAAATTGAGGTAAAAATAGGAAAGTGATATGCTATATAAATTACACTGGATTGTAAATTCTTAGCAAAGACAAAGTGCTATGTGATTACAAAATAATATGTTACTGCAGAGACTAATGTTCTGTCTCATTCCGTTTCTATTGGCCAATGAGAATGAGATCTTGAGAACTTGCGTGCTTTATTTGTAGCCCCTTATTGTAGCTATATCCATTGAAAGGGGGAAGGGGGCCAAATGCTCTACCGCCATCATTCATAAAGCTAGGAACCCTGCTTGAGCATCTGTTTGATTGGCCAGGTAATATAAATAATGCCACAGAGTATGCAGAATCAGTCACCAGATGCTTTGGATGGCTACCTCAGCAATGATTAACAAGAAATGTGGCAGGTCAATGGCAAGTACAGATCTCTGTAGCAAAGAGAATGTCCAGGCCTCTCCAAAGGGACACATATGAATTAAAGTTGTATTCTGGAGAATTCTGACCTGTGCATAAATGAATGCTGAATTCCTATCCCCTGAACTCCAGACTCATATCCAAATATCTACCCAACAGATATACTCGAATGTATAATAAGCATCTCGAACTCAACATGTTCAAACTGAACTTCTCTTTTCTTCCCCAAACCTGTTCTTCCTAGTCTTCCTCACATCAGTAGCTTCCAGTCCTGCAGGCCTAAAAAGTTAAGAGTCCTCATAGATTCCTCTCTTCCTCTAAACAGCTATTTCCAGTGTCAGCAAATCCTGTTTACCTTCAAAATATAACCAATACTAACCATTTCTCACCACCTCTATTGCTATTAGTGCCATCATCATCTCTCCCCTGAGTTGCCACAACAACCTCATAACCAGTCTTCCAAAGTGCTTTCTCTGCCCATTCCCATTCCAGCTTCCAGAGTGATTATCTAAAAAAATAAGTCAGATAATGTCACTTTTCTCAAACACTTTCAGTGAGCTCCCATATTAAACTAAAAACAGGGACACCCGGGTGGCTCAGTCGGTTAAGCCTCTGCCTTCGGCTCAGGTCATGATCCCGGGGTCCTGGGGTCAAGCCCTGCATCGGGCTCCCTGCTCCGTGGGGGAGCCTGCTTCTCTCTCTCCCACTCCCCCTGCTTGTGTTCCCTCTCTCGCTGTGTCTCTCTCGGTCAAATAAATAAAATCTTAAAAAAAACCAAAAACCAAAAAAACCCCCAAAATACTAAAAACAGAGTTCATACAATGGCCTACATGGCCGGAAACAATTTATTCTACCCCCTACTCTCTGTGATCTCCTGCTATACTCCCCTTTATGCTGTTCTAGATCTCCTGGGCCCCTTCTTATTCCTCAAAAAAACCAGACACAGAAACACTGCAGCATCTTTGCACTTGCTATTTCTTCTCTCTGGAATGCTCTTCCCCCAGGTATACATATGGCTCCTTTTCTCATTTCATTCAAAACTTTGCCCATGTGTCACCTTCTTCTATGTTGATTTTTCTGCTCCCTATTGTGTTTCTGACTTAATCCATACTTTTTTTTTTTATGTAGCTGTAACTAACTTACTCATTTTCACTGCCATTTAGTATTCTATTGTATGAATATGTCACAATTTATTTATCCATTCTATTGATGGATATCTACGGTGTTTCCATATGTTTTGCTATTACAAAAAAAATAAATCCTCTTATAAATATTCTTGAACATAGCTCCTGGCACAAAATTGCTGATTATAGACTTGTGCATCTTCAGCTTCGCTACATAATGCTAAATTGTTTTTCCAAAATAGTTGTATCAATTGATACACTCACCAATTATGTATAACTGTATTATCTGCTCTATATCCTTGCTGGTGTTTTCAATTATTCCCAATATGGTAGGTTTTTAATTATCTTTAATAATGGTTTTGATCTGCATTTTTTATGGCTATTAATGAGATTGAGCATCTTTTAGTATGTTGATTGACTGTATCAGGATTCCAACAGGGAACAAATGACAAGTTAGGATAATCAAAGGAACTAAGTACAAAGATGTGCATGGAGTGTAGGAGAACCCAGTCTGTCCACAATAGAGTTGTTTCCACTCCTAGATCCAAAAGGACAAGAGGAGGAAAAGGTTACTGAAAACCTAGAATAGTCTTACAAAGCAGAAACCTTCGGTTAAAAGAAATAGCTAGAGTGAGGAAGGGATCAAGGAGAAAAAATATCTCAACTTCATTTTCCTCCCTCCTGCTGATCTTCTGTCAGGAATCCCCATTGGCTAAATCCAACTGGAAGTCAAAGCGAATGGGAACTCTGCTGTTGCCAGGATCCTGGACAGAGCACAGGGTGAAGAATGTGAAGTTGGTATGTAGGGGCAAACAAAAGATATTTGCAGGGGCTATTCATGTTCACTTTTCTCTCCTATGAAGTACCTGTTCAAGACTTTTGCCCATTTTTATATTAGGTTGTCTTCTTCATATTGATTTATATTAGTTCTTTATGTGGACAATGATTTCTATTGCAAATACTAGTTTTTTTTGTAATCCTTATGACTTTTCTTTCTTTTTTCTTGCCCTAATATACTGGCTAGAGCACCTAATACAATAGCAGTGACACCTGTCTTGTTCATGACCTTAAAGAGAATATTTTCAATGTTTTCTTCATTAAGTATAAAGCTTACTATTGGCTTTTTTCTTAATAACATATATTGTATCAGGATAAGGAAATGCTCTTTTGAGTTTGCCAAGAGTTTCTTGTTGCTGTTGTTTAAATTTCAAATTGGTGTTAATATTTAACAAATATTTTTTCTGCATATACTAGGTCCAGGGTCTAAAAACTAGTGTCCCCAAAGGCTAAATCCTGCCCACATTTTTTAAAAAATAAAGCTTTACTGGAAAACAGCCACACATACTTGTTTAGTACATATGGCTGTTTTCACACTACAATGGCAAAAATGTGTAGTTCTATGGCCTGCAAAGCTAAAAATATTTACTATCTAGTTAGCCTTTTGCAGAAGTTTGCCAACTAGATGATTATACAACTTTCCTTTTTACCTCTGATCATATCGTTTAGCAGGCTATTCTCAAAGTGAACACCCCAAATCCATTCCTTGTCCTTTACTGCTCTATTCCCTACAAGGCTTATTTTTACTGCTTGCATCCCCAAGCTCCCTTGCCACTGGCTTTTCACGGAGGCTGACAAATGAGAGGCAACAGCAGGAGATGGGAGAGTGGTAGCCCTCACTGGTCACAGTACTGACTTGTTATGGTTCTGACAGAGGACACATTCTTCTATGGCTACAAATACTGATGGTTAAACCGTCTTCCATAATTCCATCTCTCACTAAGCATTTCCTCTCCTTGCCCTTTCATTCCTAGAGGTTCCTGGCTATTATTGGTCACCAAAGGGATGTCCAACTATCCGTTACTGGTTCCATTAATCCTTCTTTAAGCTGTTCCTTAAATTTCCTTCAGTTATAACTATTTTTTGTGTTTCATCTCTTTCTTGCCATGCCTCTTAGAAATGCAGCCATTAATTATACGAATTGCTTTTCCAGCACTGAATCAACCTTTAATTTTTGGGATCTACCCAATTGGTCATAATGCATATTGTTATATGTCACTGTATTCAGTTTGTTTTTTTATTCTTTTAGGTCTTTGTATTTATTTTTATTTTTTAAATTTTATTTTAATTCAATTAATAAACATATAGTGTATTATTAATTTCAGAGGTACAGTTCAGTGATTGATCAGGTGCTGTATTTGTGAGAGAATAATCTGTTATTTTCCTTTCTCATTCTGTCCTTTTCAGATTTTGACTATTATGATTATGCCACCCTCATGCCAAGATTTAAGGAGTATTCTTTCTGTTTCCTGTTTCTAGCCTGAATAATTTGTGTAAGATGTAATATTATGTGTTCTTTAAGTTTTGTTATAAATGTTTGGTAAAATCATCTGGCTTATTATTTCTTTTTGAATCACTTTTGCCAGTTAAATTTTTTTAGAATTTATCCATTTTAAGGTTTCAAGTTCATTAAAACAAAGTTGTAATATCCTCTATCTTTTAAATGTATGCCTCATATCAGGTTCTGACCCTTTTTACCTCACAGTATTGTTTATAAATTCCCTAGTTTATTTTTTCTTAGTAGAATCACTAAATCTTGCCTCAGTTCATGTCATTATATGTTTATTTTCTATTCCATTAATTTCTATTATCCTTGTGATTTCAATTGTTCTATTTTCTTTAGGCTTATTCACTTGTTCTTTTTATATCACATTAAATTAGATGCTTAACTCATTACTTTGCAACCCTTATTTTTTTTCCAATATAAGCACATAAGTCATAAATTTTCCTCTCAGGACAATTTGAGCTGCATCCCACAGATTTTTTTAAACAGCTTTAATGAGATATAATTCACATAGCATATAATTTACCCAGTTAAAGTGAATACTTTAATAATTTCTGGTATATTACTAACTTTACAATAAATTATGGTAAAATATATATAATATAGAAGTTGCCATTTTAACCATTTGAAGTCTACCATTCAGTGACATTAATTACATTCACAATGCTGTGCAACCATCACCACTATTTCCAACGTTTTCATCACTTCAAATAGGAACTTTGTAATCAATAACCATTAACTCTCCTTTCCCCCTCCCCTAGGCCCTGGTAACTACTAATCTACTGCCTCTGTAAATTTGCCTATTCTTAAATTTCATTAAGTGAAATCATACAATATTTGTCCTTTTTGTTTGGCTTATTTCATTTAGAATAATGCCTTCAATGGTTGATGAAGTAGCATTATTCAGAACTCCATTCCTTTTGATAGCTAAATAATATTCCACCATATGTATATACTGCATTTTGTTTATCCATTCACTTGTTGATGGACACTTGGGTTGTTTCCACCTTTTGGCCATTGTGAATAATGCTGCAATAAACACTGGTGTACAAATATCTCTTCCAGTCCCAGCTTTCAGTTCCTTTGGGTATATACCTACGAGTGAAATTACTGGGTCATATGGTAATTCTGTCTAGCTTTTTGAAGAACAGCCAAACTGTTTTCCCCACGACTGCACCATTTTACCTTCCTATCAGCAATGTACAAGGGTTCCAATTTGTCTACATTCTCAATACTTGCTATTTTCCATTAAAAAATATTACAGCCATTCTAGATGTGATGTGGTATCTCATTGTGGTTTTGATTTGCTTTTCCCTAATTACTAATGATGTTGAGCATCTTTTCCTTTTTCTGGCCATTTCTATATCTTTGGAGAAATGCATAATCGAATCCTCTGCACACTTTTTTAAAGATTTTATTTATTTATTTGACAGAGAGAGAATGTACAAGCAGGGGGAGTGGCAGGCAGAGGGAGAGGGAGAAGTAGGCTCCCTGCAGAGCAGAGAGGCCAGTGTGGGGGCTCGATGCTGGGCTCAATCCCAGGACCCTGGGATCATGACCTGAGCCAAAGGCAGATGCTTAACCCACTGAGCCACCCAGGTGTCCGCCTCTGCACATTTTTAAATTGAGTTGTCATTTTGTATGTTGAATTATAAGAGTTTCTATTTTTTAAATTTTTTTGAATTATGAATTTTTAATATATTTATATATTTTCTGGATTTTATGGGTTTTTAGCATTACATAAAAAGAAGCCATTACCTCTTCAAACCATAACATATTAATTACCTCAGGTAATATTAGTGATTATTAAAGATAATTTGTGATGGGTATGGCTTAACAGAGGTCTGACTTTAGGTCGTATTCTGAAAGCCTAGGCAGATTTGCCACTGATTTACTTCTAGCTATGACCAAGTCACATAAACCACCACTACGATCATTGTTTATTTACCACATAAAATTAAAAAATGTATATGTATATATTTGTAAGGATGAAATTCTAAATAAAAAGAGCAAAACCTAGAACAAAATACTGCTCAGAAGCTCAGAGACTATAGATTTTGTATTATGATGCAACAGAAAAACATGATATTAGAGAAAGAGAACCATTCCATTTAGTATTTTTCTCTCCATCACTATATGAAAATGGTACAGGGGAAGGATTAAAGTCAGATGCCCTTTTCTTTAGTTTCTCCTCCATTCTCCACTTCAATTCCTGAGACCTTTCAGAACTAACAGAGACTTCATTGGGATGTAGGGGAGAGGAATGAAGTTGTCATTGGCTATCTGGTCTCCTCCAGCTACCCACCCGGCCAAGGAATTGGCTCTCCTGTGTGTTCCTCACAAGGACCTTCAAAATTTGAACAATGAGGTGGTCAGAAAGAGGAAGTCCCCTGGTCCCAGTGCCACTTAACTTCTAAACAAGTTGTGGGCGGGTACACAAAGGAAGTAGCATTAATGGGCATAAGGAAGAAAGGGGGTGAGGAGAACACTGAGGGATTGATTAGAGGAAGCAAAAGTCATTTGGCCTGGGACTCAAGCTCAGGGCAAGCTACCAATGTAGGTACTTTTTAATTTGATGGCACTGAATTGATCTTTGCCTGCTTAACATTAATTAACACTGCACAAGGCTAGCATTTCCCACTGAATAATAAAAGCACTTGTAGAAAACAAAAGTTTGAAATAAGTTTGCTTTTTAAATGCTTATTTTTTCTTTTAATTACTACTTATACTGGTTAGAAACTCCCACTGGAAGCGGCACAATCCTTTTTAGATGTGTGAACAAAACATTGTTACAACTTTCTATACAGTCAAAAATAAGCAGAAGAGAATACTTACGTTTTTTTTTCAAGGCTTAACATAGGGATCCCAACAAGATGTCTGTGCAAAAGGCTACCAATGAGATTTTAAGATTGGATGTAAGTAAAGAAATGTATTCATTAAGAACTATGGGTACTACTTTACTATCCTATTGGAATGTAAGCTCTAGGAGGGTAGGGATTTTTGTTTCTCATTAATATAACCTCAGTGCCAGAACAGTACTTGGAGCAGAGCAGGCATTTAATACATATCTTTTTTGAGTGTATGAAAGAATCCCATAGCTAAATATGTATTAAGTTTTCTTTTATATATCTTAGTGAGTTGCTTTTTTTTTAGACAGTCACGTAAGAAAATTTTACACTGGAAAAGTTAATCATATTTAAAAATAACTTTTCAAGCCAGGATATTATTCTCATTTAAAATATATTTCTCTTTTGGGGCACCTGGGTGGCTCAGTTCGTTAAGTGTCTGCCTTCGGCTCAGGTCATGATCCCGACATCCTGGGATCGAGCCCCGCATCGGACTCTGTGCTCAGCGGCGAGCCTGCTTCTCCCTCTCCCTCTGCCTGCCTGTCTGCCTACTTGTGATCTCTCTGCCAAATAAATAAATAAAATCTTTAAAATATATATATATGCATATATATATATATATGTATTTCTCTTTTATTGTAGCTCAGCATCTCCATTTTCTTTCTTTTTTTTAAAGATTTTATTTATTTGACAGAGAGAGAGAGAGCAGCAGAGGGAGAGGGAGAAGCAGAATCCCCACTGAGCAAGGGAGCCCCATGTGGGACTCGATCGTGGGACCCCGGGTTCATGACCTGAGCCGAAGGCCTACGCTTTACTGACTGAGCCACCTGCCCTTAGCATCTCCATTTTCTACTATATGTTTTTATGTGTTCATAAAAATATACCACAAGGTGGCATACAAAACCCATAAAGACATTTCTGGAATTCTGTCAAAATTTTACTATATACTTATAGAAAACCTCCCTGAAATCCAGGCAAGAGGATTTGCTTGAGGGCTAGGCTCTGTCCCACTCTAGCATATGTCCCTCCCTACAGGGCGAGAAGACCACAGAGCCCAGGGACATGCCCCTTCTCACCTGGAGAACCTCTTCCAAGGCCTTCCTGGTCCGTTCTAGAAGGGCAGATGAAGCTGGCGAGCACATTCCAAAGGTCTGGACTGCTCAGGCAATGCATCTGCAGGAGCTGGGATAGGTTGTCCTTGGGACAAAGAGGGCTCTCTGAGTCCATCTCTCCCTGCTTTGCCACTCATTAGCGCAGGGCTTGAGGAGTCCAAGAATTCTGGGAACCTTAAGAAGGCATCTTTGTCAAGGTAGGAACAGTTTGTTAGTGTGATTTATAACTTCTGATTATTTACACATATGGTATGTGGACCTCCATTTTCACTGACAGCGCCCTGCAAACAGTAGAGACAAGACTGTGTATGTATATAATTCATTGATTTTTTATGGTGTATATTTGCTTACTTATAATCTGTACCTGGAATCTCTACATTTCAGAATCCCGAGATTTCAATAACAAAATCAGCAGCTTATTTGAATAGCTTGTATTGGCTATCAGGAAGTAAAAATGATTCATCAAAATGGTCTACAATAGAATTTGTAAACAAAGGTAAGTACAGCAGCTATTATACTTATCTACCACTATTTCGGTTTTCCTCCTTCCAGGAATATAGTAGGACTGTACTTACCTATCCTTTGGTGTTAGGTGTGGCTATGTGGCTAGCATTTTTTTGAGCTCTGGTTTATACTCTTTTTATAGTAATTTTATTGAGATTGAATTCTCATATCATAAAATTCACCCTTTCATAGGGTACACAGTTTAGAGGATTTTAGTATTTTCAGTTATGCAACTAACATCACTAACTTTAATACTTTTGTACCATTGCCACAGAAAGAAACCTGTACCTGTTAGATTATGACTAGGTTTGACCACTGCAACTTGAGTAGGAAGGTTGTACATAATGTGACAACAAGTCTTTTCATAGCTAGTGCTGGGTTCACCACGTTCTCCCCTTGCCATGGTGGCTGGTGTATTCCACAGGTGAGGCTCCATAAGCCTGCATCTTGGAGGATACAAATGGAACCACGCCCTTAATGAACCAAGAATGTGGCTAAGAAATAAAGTTTCATTGTGTTTAGTCACTAAGATTTGGGGGTGGGCTCTAGACACGGCATAGCATAGCACACCATGATCCATACACACAGGATAAAGATCTGTTTGATCAGGGCACCTGGGTGGCTCAGTTGGTTAAGCGACTGCCTTCGGATCAGGTCATGATCCTGGAGTCCCTGGATTGAGTCCTGCATCAGGCTCCCTGCTCAGCGGGGAGTCTGCTTCTCCCTCTGACCCTCTTCCCTCTCATGCTCGCTCTCATTCTCTCTCTCAAATAAATAAATAAAATCTTTAAAAAAAATATGTTTGATCAGAAACTATCTGAGGCAGAGTTTTTTAAAAGTGCTTAGAAATTGTAATTATAAAAGACTCATTACTAATCACCTTCTTATAATGAAAAAGAGGCTGATTTTGAATGAGATGATTATTGAAGGAAAATCACTTCATTTAAGCTAAGAAAAGGACACTTCACCAATTATATTTACCATCGAGGGTCCAACATGACTCCATCATGAACTTTGGTCTGCTGATGGGAACATGATAGATATCACTATTTGGGACACTATGCTTTCTTAAGGTTTCTTTCTGGAATCCTACCTGGAATTTACTTGGGTCTATGGTATAAGACAAAGCCCCAGATTGGTATTTTTTTCCTTCAATCATTTACCCTTCAGCCCATATTAAACATAATTTAATCTTTCTTCTTAAATGAGTAATTGCAACATCTCAGGTCTCCATTTTCAGTATCATATCACTGTTCAGTATGGTTGATACATAAAATGTGAGATATTCTGTAGATCTTAAGGTATGCTCTATTCATTAATAATGCTACCAGCATAGTTTAGGTTTCCATTACTCATCATCACTATAAAATCATATCAACGAATCCCCATTCTTTTGTTTTCCTCTAATCTTTTAGCTGCCACCAGATTAAACTTACCAAAATGTAGTTCTGATAATGACACTTCCCTATACAAAAGCCTTAGATAGAGGCTCCTGGCTGGCTCAGTTCGTGGAGCATGCGACTCTCTTCATTTGGGGTATTGAGTTCAAGCCCCACGTTGGGTGTAGAGCTTACATTAAAAAAAAAAAAAAAAGAAGAAGTAGTAAAAAACAGAACCAAAAACCAAACAAAAACTTTCAAAAACCCTCAGAAAATAAAAAATAATTTAGCTAGGTATTCTATTACTTTGCTAGGGCTGCCATAACAAAGTACCACAAACTGGGTTGCTTATAAAAAAGGTTATTTATTGTCTCACAGTTCTGGAAGCTACAAATCTGAGATGAAGATGTTGACAAGGATGGTTCCTTCTGAGGGCTGTAGGAAGAATCTGTTCTATGCCTCTTCCTTAGTCCCAGGTGGTTTGACAGTAATCGTTGGCATTCCTTGGCTTGTAGAAGAATAACCCCAATCCCTGCCTTCCCCTTCACATGGTACTGTCCTTGAGTCTATGTCCAAATTTCTTCCTTTTATAAGGACATCAGTCATGTGAGATTAGGACCCCATTCTACTCCAATATGACCTCATCTTAACTAATGTTTACATTTGTAATAACCTTATTTCCAAATGAAGTTACATTCTGAAGTACTAGAGTTTAGGACTTCAACACAGGAATCTGGAGGTACACAATTCAATCCATAACAGTATTCAAAGCCCTCCACAAGGTTTCCTACTTTCCTTTTCAGCTTTATTTTCCCATACCTTACTACTTCACCTTACACCTGAGGCACTGCAGACAACAAAAAGCTTTCTGTGAATCACTACAGTATTTTTCTGTCTCTGTTCATTTTTCTTCCTCTAATTCTTTTGTACCCTCTCATCACATCCTGTGCATTCTTCAAGGTCAAACTCAAATGATCCTTTTAAGCATAAATCTAAGTTTTCTATTTAGAAGTAACTTCTTTTTTTTTTGACTCCCTAGGTGTATTATTTGTGCTTCTCTAATGGAATTTTGCGTGTAATTTGTAACTTGTGTTATACATGGCTTATATGGTCTATAATCCTTACCAGACTGTAAGCCCCTTATGAAGATAAGACACACATCTAACTCATCCTTTAACTTTCCCATGGTATCAAAGTGCTTTATAACAAATATTTGTTGAATAAAGTTATAAATATCATAGAGCTTATAGTTTAAAATCTGATAGTACTTATTTTATCATTAGCATTTACTCAAGACTACAGAAAAAAAATTTTATTAATGGGTGCTTTTGACTTTAATACATGTTATGGAAATGCACAAATGTTTTCAAACCAATATACAGATTCAAATATGAATTCTGAGCCTAGAAGGTGAAATTATCAATGTCCTATAAGAGCCCATTAAACAATCCTAAATTCTTTCCTACAATAGTATTTTTAAAAGTTCCAATGACACAAACAAGTTTCACTTAATTCATTGTTATAGTTGAATAAATATTTATTAATCCCATTCTAGGCAGTTCAAACTTATTTTTTAAAGGGGAGAAATACTCCCCCCGCCAATTAAACTGAAAACATGGTACCAATACCAGAGAAAGATCTGATACTCTTGAGCTGGAATTTAGTTTCCTTCCTAAGAAGCAATCATGCTTTGCCTAGTCTATTTTCATAAGAAAAAGTGAATTCCATATATTATATGCTTCCTTTGCCTTTACATATATGTACTGACGTTCAAACATGACACAAGTTTAGATAAATTAATAGTTATAAAATAAACCTTCAGGATTTAGTCATTCAGAGCGTGTTAAGACACTTCTATACAACTTTTTTTAAATGGAAAAGATAAAGATTCAAAAAGAAAAACAAGCACTTTACATGAATTTTGGTATTTACTAACTTAAGTACTCAAGGACTTGGTTTGAAGAGTCCAACAGACTGAAAGTCTGCTTTTCAAGAGTACTATGATCTTCTATCAATGGAGAGATTTTGGCATTTCTAAATTCTAATAGTTCACGATCCTTGCTTGATGTTAGTAATTCATTATTGACTACGCCAGTAGTTGCATCTTCTACCAGAATATTTGCTTGGTATGCTCCAACTGGAATTTCAGGCAATCCAATGTAGTCATGATCTGCCACTACTGAACCTTGTAAGAGATAAAGACTGTCTGAAAGAAGAAACATCGTAAGTTCACCTTTTAGAATTACAATTAAACATCATTTTAAAATTAAACAATGTTAAATGAGGACAAAATCCCAAGTAATAAAAACGAACTCTAAGATTAACTTCTGTTGGGTTCTCCTATCTACTAAATAAATATACACGTCAAAGAATGAATAAAATGATACATACATTTGACAGTTCATATATATAGAATTCAGGAAAGACCAAAGATTTTAAAAGAGCCAACTCTGGGGCACCTGGGTGGCTCAGCTGGTTAAGCAGCTGCCTTCGGCTCGGGTCATGATCTCAGGGTCCTGGGATCGAGCCCCGCATCAGGCTCCCTGCTCCACCTCAGTGGGAGGCCTGCTTCTCCCTCTCCCACTCCCCCCGCTGGTATTCCCTCTCTCACTGTCTCTCTGTCAAATAAATAAAATGTTTAAAAATAAATAAATAAAAGAACCGACTTTTCCTGTTCCCTTGATCTGTCTTTGGCAGGTATGTGTGAGGGAGTAGAAGCAGCTGAAGATTATGGTAAAGATTAAAAGCAAAGTTATAAAACTCTATTTTTGATGATGACAGGCTTAACATACTTTTGCAAGGTACTTCTGAGTCAATTAATGGGATATTGAAAGATATTTAACAAATTAAATCCTTATTGTAACTTTAATCTTCATAGAATCCATATTAGGATAATGTCAAGTTGTTGATAATTAGGGCAATAATATTGAGTTGTTTATAATATGAAATTATAAACTAAAATGAAGATGAAGTTACTAGCATCAGGCTTATATGTAAGTAGGCAGTTTAAAATGCTTAGCCTATTTTAGTCTAATTTAATACCAAAATGCTCATGAATTTCTAAGGTGGAGCTAAATTCATACTGAAATACTAACAAGGAATTTCCCTTTAATTCTATTTTTTTTTTCTTTAATTCTATTTTGAGCAAATTTATCATCACTATCAGGAAAAAAATGCTTAATATGAATGTTAAACAGATGGCAAAGCAGTAGCATCTTTATAAAAAAAGGTTAATGTATATAAAAGGATTCCTCCCTACGTGGTATTTTAATTCATTACAACAAGGAACTCTTCCACCATAGATGATTAACTTCCTGGACCCCTGCCTTCTCTTTCTGGATTTTCTCCCAAAACATTAATGATTCTCTTTAAGATTTTAATAGCTTAAAGAGCCCTCAAATTTTAAGTTCAAGAAATAGCAAAAGGAAGATTAATTGCCCATTAGATCAGAAATCAAGGGAAGTTTCTCAGAGCAGATAAATTTCCTAATAAACCCTGGAACACGATCCTATTCAACCCATTCTCGTACTAATATGTGAAAAGCTCACTGAACCTATTCCAATCCCATAAGTTTACACACTTAAGAACTTTTGATTTAAAAACTTAAAAAGATCAAAGCCATGCTGCTCTCTACCCACAGATGGCCTAAGTGGACTTGAGTTTGTATGGACATTTAGTTTTGTACATTTTGTTCTTCATTAGGCAAAGTATACTTGGTATTTTAGTTTTGAGAGGTTTTTCCAAGTTTTACCCCACCAATTCTTATTCATGCAAAAGTAGTAATTAGATTGAAAAAGATGGTAAGATATACATATTTATGATGAAAACAAAAGTATGGATAATTGATTTTTATATGTTAGCATGGGATGAATTACTGGACAAGAGAACAATTCTGAAAGATAAAAACCAAATCATATAACTCATGAGAAGTGTTATTGCCCAAGAGCAGCAAGATGGAGCAAAAACATGACCAATGCATTTGAAACACTTTTAGAATGTGTTGCAGGAGGTTCAACATCAAAGTTCACTCTTAGGTTCGTAATACTGGAGAAAGCTAGACACTAATATATAAGAGAACTTTAAAAGGTTAGGTATGGGGGTGCCTGGGTGGCTCAGTTGGTTAAGCAACTGCCTTCAGCTCGGGCCATGATCCTGGAGTCCTGGGATTGAGTCCCGCATCGGGCTCCCTGCTCAGCGGGGAGTCTGCTTCTCCCTCTGACCCTCCCCCTCTCATGCTCTCTGTCTCTCATTCTCTCTCTCAGATAAATAAATAAACTCTTTAAAAAAAAAGGTTAGGTACGATAAAAGTATTGCTAATGAAATTTTTCAAATAAGCCATGGGAATTCCATATTTCAAGGCTTGCACAATGCTGCAAAGTATCGGTGACAGCAGATACCATAGATTTAAGGTATTTCCAAAGATCCTTACAAAAATCTTTGATGAAGGAAGTTTCCAGTCTCAAAAATTATTTTCCATACAGATAAAGCAAGTCTCTTTTAGAAAAGTATGTCCAGTAAATATGTATCAATAGGGAAATATGCATAGACATAAAAGCAAGTCTCTTTTAGAAAAGTATGTCCAGTAAATATGTATCAATAGGGAAATATGCATAGACATAAAGCTCTTAGAAGTTGCCACTTTGATGTCCTGGAAATGCATTCACAGACCTTGAGCTTAAGCACCTCTTAGTTACACTAGACTTTGAAACAAATGGACTTTATCAACCTCACTTGTTTGTAAGAGGAGAGCTTCTATGTGTCATATATCTCCATATATGTATATGTCTTTATATAGTACACATACTTTCTCTTTTAAATGAGTGATAAATTTTAATGTACCTATTTAAAAAAAAAGGTACCTATTGTAATAAAACTGTAGAGAACAAGAACTATACCTGGCAAATTCCACACAAATCACTTTATATGCAATGGAAAATTACTCTGGAGATTTCAAGCCTTGTTTGTGTAGGAAAAAAGCCCCCAAATTCTCATTCATTCAGAAAGGTCAAATGTGTTTCAACTCCTGCTATGGTCTAAATCTACTGGAGCCAACAGAAATGCTCTTTAACATCAAAACAAATTACCAAAAATTATCAGAAAAGAGACTTTTGAGACCCTACACATACGATTAAATAATAATCAGATACACTAGGTTATATCAAATATATTATTAAAATTATTTTCACATATTTCTTTATAATTTAACATGGCTACTAGAAAACTTAAAATTATATTACTACATAGTTTTTGTATTTTATACATATATCTATTGGTCAGTACTGATGTAGGATAATCCTGAATTAGGGATATGAAAAAGAACAAGATAAATATTGCCCCCGAGAGAGAGAGGTAAACATACCATATTAAAGCATTTTTCTATTCAGTCATATTACATAATAAGCTTATTTTTTCATTCTATTAATTTAATTATCATTATGACATTTGTTTGATGAAAGCATTATTTCAGTTTTGACCAGACTGAATAATTAAGTCTTTAGGTTTTTACAAACGAAGGTAAGGTGTTATCAGCCGTTTTGACTTACTTTTCCTTATGTAGTTTTAAGGAGTAAAAAAATGAAATTAAGAAATAAATTTTTTAATTTCTCTAAGGAGAAATATAAGTTAAAATTAAAGTCTCAGAAAAGTCAGAGTGATTCGGATTAGTTTATTTCATCAAACATAAAGAAAAGTACACGGTTTTTGAATACTAAATTTTCTTATTCTGAAAAGAGGTGACCAGACTAATTCTATACATAGCCTGATATCCTAGAACTATTAGAATATATTGCCACACCAGTATACCCGCCCTTTCTTATGATAAAGCAACAAATAACTGTAATCTGATAGTACGTAATTGTCACTATGATAGATAACCAACACTAACAACAGAGAACTGAATGACTCTCAGTTTAAAGATGATACAACTCAGAGTCCAAAGGGAGGCTCTTTGTTAATAAAGTAAAAATCATGGGCTTAATAATAAAGAACTAAGATTTGTTTTGTTTCATGAATGTAGACCATAACTGTGGTAGGGAGAATAATGGGCCCCTAAAGATGTCCATGTACTACAACTCCCTGGAAATGTATTACCTTACATGACAAAGGAGAAATAGAGAAGTGATGGAATAAGGTTGATAACCAGCTGACCCTAAAATAGGGAGATTATCCTGCATTATCCAGGTGGGCCCAACAATAAGGGTCCTTAACTGTAGAAGGGGGAAGAAGAGAAGGCTGCAGTGACTTGTGATGTGAGGAGGACTCTACCTGTCATTGCTGGCTTTGAAGACAGAGGCAGGAGACCACAAGCCAAGCAGTGTGGGCAGCCCCTAAAAGTTGGAAAGGCAAGGAAACAGGTTCTTTTTTAGGGCCTCCAGAAAGGAACACAGCCCTACCAATGCCTGATTTTAGCTCAGTAAGACCTATCTATGTTGGAATTCTAAGCTATAGAACTGTAAGACCTGTTTTAAACCATTAAATTTATGATAATTTGTTATGGTATCAATAGAAAACTTATAAACTAATGAAAACCATCTCAGAAACTGTGAAGGGCAATCAGCAGACAGAAATCTATCACAACTCCTATCCAAAATAAAACAATAAAACTACTCAAAATCTATATTGGATAGAATAATGAGTCAGTAATACTTTTCTTTTCAGAGGGGAACATTATGATTACAAAGAGATATAATGGTATGTCCTAAAACTTACTAAAAGAATTAGTCTTGAAAAAGTACCTGGCATTGAACGACACAAAATGACATAGGCCTGCTTAAAATAGCAGAGAGAAATATTGTATACCTAGTACTGAATGTGCTCCCTCTAAGTTATGTTCTAGGTAAGAGTGGATAAGTGGTTGGCAACAGAAGCTTATCTGCTTTGGACAGTGAGTCTTTAAAACAGCTACGAGATCTCACAGCTGGTAAGAGTAGCAATAACAAGTACAGACAGACAAATTCATAGTTCTTTTGGCTATACCTCTTCCAAATTTATGTCAAATGAAAGAACAGGATTTAAGACATTCAAAGGCATTTAGTTTGCTTTACACTTTGTTCAAGGACTCTTTAAAATCAGCTTCTGAGGCAAAGATGTGCAGGATAATATGTGATACTGAAGAAAAAGATGGCAGAAATCACATTTATTTTGAATTTCTCCAAAGAAAAGAAACACAAAATAAGGAACAAATAGTAATCAAGAACAAGATTCCAGGATGGCCAGGTCACACTTCCTTTGGTTAACAAGAAAAAACAATTTTACCCATCTACCTCAGTTTCTTACATGTACTGGTACTAATATTATAATTTCCTTTATATTACTGGAAGAAATATGTGCAGAGAATTCAAGCATGAGGGAAAAATTAGACTTCCTCTGTTTAGAAACTGTTCTACTCAATTGGATTCTGAAATATGCAGGAGTAGCAAAATGTTTGGCCTCCTTTCTGAGAAAGTCTTTGGCAAGAGCAAATTGTAAAATGTTGAAGTAAATTCTGATACAGCAACATTCTAAATGTAAATTTTGTATTCATTAAGGAAGGCTAACACATTAGAAGGCAGTGAGTCCTAAATGCTGAGGTTAGGGAGAAAATCTTGCTAAAGAAAGGACAACATGTACCTGTATAATCTTTTTCTCTTCTACTTAACTTACATAAGACAGAAATCATAAACGGTAGCTCAGTACTGAAAAGAAGTACAAGGAATGAAAGTGCCGATCTTCCAACAAAGAGAATGAAGGTACTGCGAGCTTTCAGAATTAGAACAGTCCAAGGTAAGTTTACTAATAGAGCAATCAGGCTGTCACAAGCAGAAGGAAAGGTAGGAAGAGTTTTTAACTTGAGAGTTTTGATCCAGATCAGAAGCAACGTTGAGCTATTTACTGCAGCCCCCAAGGGCTTTTATCCTAAAAAAATAAGGTAAGTGTAAATATTGTTACTGTTGCTCTTGTAATATTCACTTATGCCTGTTAAATAACTCAGTTGTTTAAAAATGTACTAAATTCATCTTCCACTAATTGTTACTCATATTCAAATATTATTGATGCTTTATTTTTCTTTATAGGAAAAGCAAAATTAACTGGCTGAGGTACCAATTCACTCCCTCTCAGTTATCCACCCCAGAGAAACTCTAGGGATCAGTTACAATAGGACAGAATAAAACAGTCTCCATTAAGTGGAATTTAATCTGAAAGCCATAGCAAAATGTCATTTATCTCTTAATCTCTGCAAGAAAGGGTTAAAGAAATCAGGATATCCTTCTGACTGTTCAAAACCACATGTGGGGGCAAGTATAATCTTGTTCAGGCTATCGCCTCCTCTTATAGCACCTTACAGCATTCTGGTTACACCACACCCCACACCCTCCCCTGCATCTATCATGACCTGACTATGGCATAACATCAAAAATTAATCACTTTTTTTAAAGTTCCCTAGTATATTTATCTCACAACAGAATTCTGGATAGTATGTTTGGTTTTGGTATCACTTATCTTAGTTGGTATTTTCTCAAGTTAAACCGAGACACAAAGTGACAAAATATTGTGAAAGTGAAAATCGAGAAGATGTAATTCTTCCTTCTGTCAAATAGGTCTAGTATCTCCTACATGAACTGTGGGGTAAATGTGTGAAAAGTACCCTAGAAATCAGAATAGGATCTCTTACAAGCCTGACAGTTGCAGAAGAGTCATTCTAATAAAACAGAATACCTGAGATCTAAAATTATATACCACATTTTATAAAAATGAGAAGGGAAAAGAAAACCTAACTAAGAGAAGGGGTTTTGGCTGGGTTGGGGGTGGATTCTTATATTATTTTTAACTTCCCTCCTCATTCACGGAAAGTAAAAATGTAAAGAAATGACAGATGCTTACCTTGTTCACTGGACTCTCTTACATAGGGCTTAAGGTGGGACATTTTGATAGGTCTTTTAAGTCGAGTCCCAGTGTTGTCTCTCAGAACAGCACATCCACTTTCTGTAATATAGTCTATGACACAAGGTCCAACCCATTCAGACTGGAAACGACCGTCCTTCCACCAATTTTTCCTTTGTCTTAAAACTTCATGACCCACTTTTAAACGAAATGGATTTAATTGCTTTGGTTTCTTTTTAACAATGATTTTGCTTTTATTCAGTTCATCAGGATTGTTGTTCTCCATCTTCAAGAGCATAATAAAAGAGAGAACAAAGGGATGAAAGAGCTGTAGTTTCCTGAAGGTAAATGCAGATAATAACAAGATGGTTACTTATTGAGATACTAATACAAAGCAAAATTGAATCCCATTTAATCCTGAAAGTAATATTTCAAAACTAGTATCATTACCCCAACTTTACAAAGAAGTTAAACGGAGAAAGGTTAAGTAATTGGCCCAAATCAAACAACTGGAAAGCAACAAAATCAGGAATATGAATTCAGCTCTACTTGATTGCAAAGAACAAAGTTTTCCCTTTACTGTCTCTCAGAATTTTAGAGCTAATAAGCACACTGCATAATCAAAACAAAAGCAGAATTTAACAGAAAAAATTTGGCTTTAGTATATCATATGTATACCATATGTGTGTGTGCATCTGTATGTGTGTGTGCATGCTGAAAATTTTAAAATTATTTCGTGGATTTTTAGATTATAGTTTTCTATTAAACAGAATCACCTGTCCTGCTGAAGTTGTCTTATTCTCCATTATTTTATCAGCTTCTTTAATTGCACCTAAAATTTTGGCAAACATACTTGTATCATCACCATCCACCTCATGAAGAACATCTGAAGTCTCAGGCATATAAGGATTGCGATTAAACATTTGAAAATATGGTGTATTTTTAGGAGGTTCCTATTTTAAGGAAAATGGAAAATGATTTGTAATAAATTATTTATGTAGCCAAGAAACAGTCATAACTCAAAAGTACAGAATTATAAAAAGACACATACCAAGTGAGTTACATTGAAGGCAAATGAAATGGCTGATAGGTGATCATCCCAGTTGTTTGGGTGGTCAGCACAGTGTTTAGAAAGAAATGCTTTGATTGTGCTAGGTGTACTTTCAGTTGGATTAACAGTTTGGGAGGTATGAGAAATTACAATTTGCTTTGTGCCAAACAATCCACACAGTTCAACATTGATCTGAAAAATATATAAAAGTTGACTTTAAAATTCATATTTTAAATGAGATTAGGACTTGAGCTTGACTGAAAGGTTTCAAAAGAATCTGAATCTTGCCTTTTTCATTGAACCATACCCATTCTATATAAAAACATACATACCATATTTTGCAATTACCATTTATTGAGTCCTTACTATCTACTGGTCAATACACTAGATGTTTTACATTACTGTCGTTATACCTTACAACAATCATGAATTCTCATTAACCCCATTTCAAAGATAAGAAGCTTTGGGAGGTTAAGTGCCTTGCCAAACATACATATACAGCAAGGAAATGGAAGAACAGAATTTAACACTAACTCTGAGTTCATATAACATTTTAATTCAGCAGACAATTTCTCAAATAAACACTAGGTCACATAAACCAGTTAATAGTTACATGACTTTGGCAGGTAACTAAACTTCTGTGTACTCAGTTTCCTATCTGTAAAATGAGGAAGATCCTACTCAGAACCCTTTTGAGAATTATATGAGTAGATGTTTGTAAAGTACCTAAAACAGTTATTGGCAAGTATTAAGCACTTTATAACTTATAATGTTATTATTATTGTGGTGGTTATATTTATTATCTGCAGGGCCTAAAAAAAGTCAAAATGAGTTTAGAAAACTTCAAACAGTAAGCCTGTAAAATGTAAAATAACTTATTTTTCCCACCTTATGCCTCAGATTATTTTTTATTATTATTTTTAACTGGGTAAACTTTTGGTTAATAAACTTGTCTTTTAAAAGATTGTATTCTTATTGCCTAATTGTAAGAAGACAAGTAGTATCACAGTAACTAAAAAGGTAAAGCTAATAAAAAACCTACCAAAACCAAAACCACATTTCCCAAGCTTCCTTGTAAGAAAGGAGTAGTCATGTGATATAGTTTTGGTCAAAAAGATATAAGTGGAAGTTATTGGGCTTTTAAAAGTTGTTGGGTAGACTCAGCTGCTACTAGGTATTTTATCTATTGTCCTCCCCATTCTTTCTGTCTGAAATATAGATTTTTGTGGCATGGGCTCTGGCAGCCAAATTGTGAACCTAGGACTGAGAGTCACATCTCAAAGATGGTGGAAGAGAAAACTAGAAGCATGGGTTCCCAAAGACATTCAGGTTACTCTTCCAACCTTGGACAGCCTGGCCTTCTTTTACCTTTTGGAGTTTATATATTGGGCACGAGAGGAGTTCTCTTACTTGCAGCTAATACAGTTCCTAGCTGATATATGTACTAATTTAGGCTGCCACCTTTGAAACTTAAAAAAAAAAAAAAAAAAAAAGATTTATTTATTTATTTGAGAGAGACAGCACGAGTTGGGGAGGGGAAGGGAGCAGAGGAAGAGGGAGAGAATCCCAAGCAGATTCAGTGCTGAGCGTAGAGCCTGACGTGTCTCATGACCACGAGATCAGGACCTGAGCTGAAACCAAGAGTGGGATGCTTAACTGCGCCACCGAGGCACCCCTTCTTTTAATCTTTTAACTCAAAAGTAGTTAAAGAGGTATCTTTTAAAAAAAAAAAAAAAAGAAGGGAAAAAAAAAAAATCCTAGAGGGGCACCTGGCTGGCTCAGTGGGTAGAGCATGTGACTCTTGATCTTCAGGTTGTAAGATCAAGCCCCACATTGGGTATAGAGATTACTTAAAAATAAAATCTTAAAAAAAAAAAAAAGAGAGAGAGAAAAAATCTCAGAGAATTGGTATCATTTGAGTCAGCCTCAATCTGAGGTCTTAATCAATGCTTTTAAATGACTGAGCTCTGGAAAAGGGTCAAACAACTTCTTTGTTTCAAGAGGTTGTTGCCTAAGAATGATTCAGTGAATTCATTTGTGGGATGCCAGCCTGATAACCTAACCCCAGAGCCTTTTTTTCTCCCATCAAACCAGACATTTTATTAGTTGTTACAATTTTGGTTTTCCATAAGACCTATTTTTAAAATCAAAGAAGCAGATTTTCCTTTGGAAACATTTATTTTCTTTCCTTTAGAGTTTTACAAAAAGTCTGTGCACTTTATTGAAACATCTATATTTTCATCCAACTGTGTTTGTAATACACAAACTGTATGCATCCACATTGTAATATTCTAATCTTATTTCAATACTTCAGCAGTGTTTGGTACGTTTTTGCTGACAAAAGAAAACATCATTTTGTCACCATTATGCTAATATTTAAGCCATTTACATCACAGCAAAAAGAACAAATTTTCTCAATCATCTGTGATTTTTAGTTTTTTTGCTATTAAACTTCACAAAAGAGGCTTATAAACATTTACTGTTAACTTTGGTAAAATTTCCAAAGTCCTGGATTATCACATGACTTTAAACATAACTGGAAAAACTGGTGATTCATAATAGCTTCATACTGTCATTATTTTTATCTCTAAGCACTTTATGTACTTAGGGTGAGGCTTTTCATTAGATATGGTGGAAGCAAATCAGTATTTCAAATCAGTTTCTTGATATTTTGAATTTTGGTGACCAATTTCCTATCAGATCCAATTAGTTCATATTTGTTTTCATCTCATTAAAGTTTCTATAAAAGAACTAGTACCAGAAGTTAAGTAGAAGTGTCAGCTCTATCACTTTCTTGTGGTTGACAGGTAATTGCATTATTAGTATTATCTTGTTCTCACTGTAAGAAACTTAAGCCACATGACTATTCCATGAGGAGTAGTTTGGTCAAAACTAGATGATATTCAGAAACACAATTACTACTGAAAACCAAGAATGAGCAAGGGAACTACTATAAACCTCTTTTATGTTGTGGATTCTTACTCTTTTCTCAAGATACCTTCATATATCATGTGTGATGTACAATCATCTGCCTTGTCGATCTGGGATGCTATTAATCATCTCTACACATTATTAGCAAAACTTCCTTTCTTTCTTATTTATTAGATAAAAAAGAAATATAAGCAGAAGTTCTAACATTGTTATCCCATAAACTGGATTGTTTCATACACCTCATTTTGACCATTGCTGTGTCAGTCACAGCAGGCAAGATTATGTGATAGTTACAAAACACATTCAAGTCTCAGCTTTAATGCAACAACCTTACTGCTTGCTCCTACGAACTTGGCTATGGGTCAGGGTGTCTCTTCAAGGCAACTATTCTTGACTACGTGCCTCAGCAATCCTAGATGAGAGGAATCCCACCACCCTATAATGTAGTATCTGGAATGTTCGGTCAATTCCCCAGAAAAAAAATTAAGTATTATTACTATTTTTTTCAGATAAGTTAAAATGGTCTTAGTTTGCAGTATTCATTCCTATTTAATTTGAACACTTTTCCACGTTTGTTATTTATTTCTTACAGATTTACTTATTTGGCGGGGGGGGGGGGGGGGGGGGGAGCGTGCCATATGTGCAAATGCATGGGAGCCGGAGGAAGGAACAGAGAGGGAGAGGGACAAGCAGACTCGTGCTGAGCACAGAGCCAACACGGGGCTCAAACCCAGGACCCTGAGATCATGACCTGAGTGAAATCAAGAGTCAAACACTTAATCAACTGAACCACTCAGGAGCTGGGAACTTGGGGATTTTGGGAGGGTTTCCATCATTCCCTGATACAGATGGCTCACAGTGCTTAAACTATACAAACAAGGTAGTTTATGCTGAACACCTTTTTTCCTTTAGGAATCTAGGATTCTGGTACAAGCCCAGGCAGAGGGTGCCTTTGTGACCGGCTCCCAGTAAAAATCCTAGGCACTGAGGGGTGCCTAAGTGGCTGTCGGTTAAGCATCTACCTTCGGCTCAGGTCATAATCTTGGGGTCCTGGGATCGAGCCCCACATTGGGCGATCTGCTCAGTGAGGAGTATGCTTCTCCCTCTCACTTTCCCTCTGCACTCTCCCTCTCTCAAATAATAATAATAATAAAAGATTAACCTTAAAAAAAAAACCCTAGGCACTGTGTCTCTAAAGAGCTTCCCTGGTAGATAACATTTTACATGTGTTTGCTATAACTCCTTGTTAACAGAATTAAACATGTCTGGCTGTGTCTGATTTTTTTCTTATACCAGTACTGTTTAATTTTGAAAATTTTAAAATATGCCTTAAGTGTCATAGTCACTATTCCTTTTTTAGAATTTTCATATATATTCTTGCTTGCATATTCTTTCAAGTTAACTTTAATCTGGAAAAAGATGAGGGCAAGAAATAAGCTCCCTCCTTATTAATGCTGATTAGAAATTAATTATATAAATTAATTTTGATTTGGGAAAAAATCAGTACCTTTCAATATTGAATATTCTCATTCATAAACATGATATATTTCTCCATTTACTCAATTCTCCCTCTATATGTCAATCATAGAATTTTTTTTTAAGATTTTATTTTTAAGTAATCTCTACACCCAACGTGGGGCTTGAACTTCCAACCCCGAGATCAAGAGTCACATGCTCTACCCACTGAACCAGCCAGGGGCCCCCCATCACAGAATTTTTAAGCTAGAAGTAAACAAGGATTATTTGGTCCAACTTCCTCATTTTAGTTTTAGGAAACCTGAAGACAGATTTACAATTACTTAGTTGCACAATTAATACAAAAATCCTGGTCTCTTAAGTTTCCAGTCCAGCTACTTTTGTGCTATACAATATTAAACCTCTATACCTGTAGCAGTTTATATAAACTTACTAAGAACCTATAATGCACAGGTGTGCTAGGCATTGAAGGTAAGTAAAATATGCTCTTAGACCTAACTAATTATTTGTCTTACCTCATGAATGAACTCTTCTCTTTGGTCCATTATTATTTTCTGAGGCGGTCCATATAAGAAAAATATATTGATAATAGCTTTAGAAATTTCTGATGCTGAAACATCACAGAGAGGCAAAATCACAACCCACTTTGTGAACAAATCTGTCATGATTATAGTATAAACGTGACTTCTGTTGCTTGCATGAAATGGGCCCATCAGATCAACAGTAACTATACTCCATGGATTCTCCACCTTGAGAAGGTGCTGTTTAGGTGCTAGAATAACTGTATTTTTTGCCACTTGGCAATGCTGACAAGCATATACCTATAAAACAGACACACAATAAGAAAAAAGATATATAGATGTTAATATATTCAACATAATAAAAGCAGTCTTATAAATATGAAGTTTTTATTAAAATTGTTTATAGTTACTTTGTGTTTCGAAGGAGAAACTTTTAGACTATTCTCAGAATAGAATAAAACCTTCTGTTCAGAAAAACAAGCAAATATGACTTGCTATTACAATCCACTGACTACTTTAAGGGGTCTTATTCACATAGAACATAATTCTAGTTTACAGTCAACAAATATTATGTAAATAAATCTTAAAACCAATTTCTTACATCAAATTTGTTATATTTTTAAGTCAGTATCTGAATACACAATAATTTCTATAAGTAAAAGATTTTTTCTTTTAAAGTTATCATTCCTTTTTTTTTAAATTTTATTTTATTATGTTAATCACCATACATCACTAGTTTTTGATGTAGTGTTCCATGATTCATTGTTTGTGTATAACACCCAGTGCTCCATTCAATACGTGCCCTCCTTAACACCCATCACTGGGCTAACCCATCCCCCACGCCCCTCCCCTCTAGAACCCTCAGTTTGTGTCTCAGAGTCCATAGTCTCTCATGGTTCATCTCCCCTTCCTATTCCCCCCCCTTCATTTTTCCCTTCCTACTATCTTTTTTTTTTTTTTTAACATATAATGTATTATTTGTTTCAGAGGTACAGGTCTGTGATTCATCAGTTATCATTCTAATAAATTCATTCACTGATCTATTTCAATAGTATTTATTAAAACATAATTTTATTAAAAAAATACTTACAGATGCCAGCAATTCCTCAAGGCCCCAGGAAAACAGAACAAAAATAGAGCCCATGCTGCCATGGAGCTTTTAATGTGAGTGGGATGAGAACTGATTAACATATGGATGGTGCCAATGTTCAACATATTTCTAGAATTCCACTTTGGAAACCACCTTCAAACCAACTTGTGAACAAAATTTTATAAACTCTCTTTGCATTAGTTACTTTTAATCAAAAGTTTTATTGTCCAATTTATCTACTAGCTTTCATCATAAATAACCTCTATTTCTAAAAATCATATCCATTCTCAAATGATAAAGATTTGACAAGATCAAAGGAATGTGTGGCAGGTTCTAAAGGCAAATACAAATATTGAGGTCTTGGAATACATGCACAGACTACAAACTGATAACTTACAAATGCTATTTAAATGTTGGTTTAGTTCTTTATACCTGAAATGACAATCTTTTGATATACTATTATAATTATTAAAAGGATTCTCACATAGATACCAAGTCATATAGAGTACACTAGAAAGAGTAGGGATCAGATGATCTACCAGTAAGAATACCAGAATTCCTATATCCTATAAGAAGCTGAAGGTTGAAATAAGTTATAAAGTTACAAAACTCAGACTAATTTCATCATTTTTACAACTTGATTTTGCCTTTAGTTGGTTTTGGGTCTCTGCCATATTTGACATTTTTTACATCAAGATGAGATATGCACAAAAGAAGAGAGCACACACTGGACCTGACCTATGAACAGATTCTCCTCTCAAGAAAAGATTATCTGACTGCCATCAAAGAGGTAATCATTTAGTCAAAGGAATTTCAGCCCCATTTGAATTCTGTGATACATAAAGAGTTCAATGATGAAAATCTGTTTATAAATAACCTATTAAATATGCTATTTTTCAAATATTTAAATAATGTTTTAGTTCAAATTATACTTTAGTGATTTTAAAGGAGAATTCTGAAAAACTGATTTCTTTTTTTTCTTTTTTTTAGAGAAGGAGGGGGGAGGGGAAGAGGGAGAGAGAGAATCTTAAGCAGGCTTCATGCCCAGTGCGGAGCCCCAAGTGGGCTGAGATCATGACCTGAGCTGAAATCAAGAGTCAGGCGCTTAACTGACTGAGCGACCCAGGCGCCCCAAAGGAGAATTCTGATGGGAAGTAAAACTCCTTTTAAATGTTTTTGTACAAACACTACCCATACAAAAAGTACTTAACAAGAGGTAATATCCAGAGTAAATCTGGAGCAATAATGAATTTTGGATATCTACTACAAAGGTATTATTTAAAATATTCTTAATATATAAGCCATACCCACTGTTTGACATCATTGGTCACAGAAGTCCAGTAATAATTGGATTCCACTAGAGTAAGGGTCCTGGATATGCCATGATGAGCTCCAGTGTCATTTTCATGGCATTCTCTTAAGACTTTCTTTTTTTCTTCTTCTGAAACAATTACCAAACGATTTTGTTTTCTGTCTTTTCCAACATAAAACAGCTTTTTTTCTGGAATAAATAATAACAAAAAGACATGACTGCAATTTTTAGAGATCAGTATAATTTTAAGATAATCTAATCAAAGCCTTATCATCAAACCATTATGGTTTTTAAAAATCTTTTTCCCCCCTAAGATAGAATATTTATATGTAAGGCATCCATACAACCTGAAAGGTCCTCAGCTGTTATGCTTACTTGATATGTAGGAGGATCACTAGTTGCTATAATTTTGTAGCTATCTATACCAGTGGAGCTAGTTTGTTCACCAAAACATGTGATAACTATAGGAGTATGAAATTATCTTTCTATGGGAGTACTCAAACTGGAAAAATACTTGCAGGCATCTCCTAAAAATGGCATGAATTAGCAGATGAATTATGTACAGATAAGCAACTTCTGGAACAGAATTTTCCAAAATAGTGTTTCACCATAACTTACATTTTTGTAAGCAACCACACTGTTAAGTTTTTCTAGATTTGAACAGGAGGTGAGATTTGTAAAGCAGGAAAGTAAGAGAACCTTAATCCTTAAGACCGTTCTCTGTTTTCCTTTGGAGGGCACCTGAGAAGAAGCCACAGCTGGAAAGCAACTGAGGTAGGGAAAGAATCACTATCTCTCCAGTGTGGATGAGGTAGCTATTCAAACTCCAAAATACAGCACTAAGTTACGAATGTGTTTAATTAAGCCTATGCTGAGTGAAACATTCCTTCCTTCAATTAGAAGGTAAGCAACTTAAGGGCAGGAACCTTATGTGCCTTATTCATCAGAGTATTAGGCCTAAAATGTGACTGACACACAGTAGGAACTTGGAAAACATTTGTTGCATAAATGTTTAAATAAATAAATGAATGAATGAATCATAACTTTACTAAGAGGTAATAGGTGTACTTATGAAGTATAAAGGAGTTATAGGAAGGGATATACACAGAGAGATATGAGGAGGTATTTATATATTATTTTAAAGGTTTCTTGAACTGCTTTTCAGGAAGCATGATTTTATACCTAGAGGCAAAACTCCCATTAATTAATAGCACCAATATTCATTTAGTTGTCTGGTGATCTAACTTCTGGCTTATTTCATCGCAAACTTCTCTTCCCTTTTAAGGAAGAGGAGAAAGAAGGAAAAATTACCATAATCTTTCAACATAAATTTTCTATCGCCTTTCAAATATTTAATCCATTCAGGGAGATTAGGTATCCAAAAATGAATGTGATCCTGAAAATATCTGATGGCGGGGAGACCACAGAAATAAATATGGTAAAAAGTTAACGTCAACATTTTCATATCAGCATCAAATAAGCTCTTCATCGATAGTGACATAAGTGCTAGGAAATGCCATTAAAGTAGGAACTACCTGAGGAAAAGAGCATGAGAGGTTAATTTAGGTGAGTGTTTTTTTTTTTTTTTTCATGGTATCATTTTCTGTCTATGATTTAAAATGCCCTTTTCATGCTTACTGGCATTCAGTTAGTTCACTGTGATTTTTATTTTGCTTTTGACTGAGTGGCATCATCAATTACATCGATAATTGTTAAGCAACAAGTTACCGCAGAAAATTCTCAGTATTCCACAAAGAACACATGGAAAAGCATCTATATTAACTCTACACTTGGGGCATAAAGGTTACCTTTGTTTCTTTTCTTTCTTTTTTTTTTTTTTTTGAGAGAGAGAGAGCGGGTTGGGGAGAGGGGGAGAGGTTAGTGGGAGAGGGAGAGAGAATCTTAAACAGGCTCCACACCCAGCCCAGAGCCCGACACCCAGCTCCATCTCAGGACCCTGAGATCATGACCTGAGCCAAAATCAAGAGTCGGATGCTTAACCAACTGTGCCACCCAGGCACCCCAGTGTTACCTTTGAAGATAAATTTTTTTGCTGCTCTTCTTATGCCACTTCTTTCACTTGGTAGTGTAGTTGGATGATATTCACCAGTTCGTTTATAATATGCAATCTGTTTAAGATGAAGGTCACCATTTTTTCCACTACGGACCATCATGAAACTAGGTAAAAGATATTTAAAGATATAATTTAAATGATAAATAAGCTCATTCAGTTGCTATTTCAGTTCAGGCTTCTGTCATATTTCTGCTTACATATCAATTGAACATTCCCAGAATATTATCTGTGATGGAGATAAATATAGTACAGAAAAGGAACTGTGTGATGTATATGAACTAAAATATTCAAAAGCTATTTTTGAGATATATCATGACACATTATCTTGTCTCTTTCCATGTGAAAAGAAATGCTGAAAATTTTCCACATACTGGGAAAAAACAAAATAAATAACTACACTTTAAAAAGTTTTGTGTAAAGTCTCTCACTACCATCAGTTGAAATGTTACTTACATAGAATGGTTCTGTTATGTGACATTTAAATACATGGTAGGTTATAAAGGGGAGAAACAGTTTTTTTTCCTTCCAAATACATTCATGGTCATTGCAAAATGCAAAAAAAAAAAGTCCAAGTAATTTATGAAAAAGATCTATTTTGGAAATGTTTAAACGATAAATGACAGAGATGATATTTAGCTATGCTAGATCTCATATACTCTTCTGAACTACATATAAGCTGCTTTTTCTTGAATAGAAATGATTTTTGGTCCTGTACATATTTTCTCTATATTATAAAGAAAACTCTGGCCGCATTGGCGAAAACAAAACAAAACAAAATAAAATTTGTCTATTTTAGACCATAAATTATATGGGAAACCATTAAGTTAAAAAGAAAAAAAGCCCCTTTCATTCATATTTTTAGGTGAAAGAAACTATTCTGTGCAGATTATTCTGTTTGCCACCACCCCCACCCATCCAGATCAATTTTTGGCCTTTCTTTCCCTGCTACTGTGCCCTAGGAGACTGACCCTTGAAAACTGCATTTATAGTTTTCTGATTAGGCTTGTCCAGTGGGAGGTACCAGGAGGCAAATCAGAACGCAGAAGAGGTCAGGATATTTATTTCCCAGGTCCTTCCTTAATTGAGGCTGCAACCCTCTACAACTACAGCTCCTCTTGAGTAGCCCATCTTCCATGTCTTTAGTTCTCACTGGAAGTTTGTAACATTATTTCTTCTTTTTGCTAATTCAGGGGCACTATTCCATCATTATTCCCTACTGTTACTAATCTCCAGGGACCACGTTGATTTCTTTGACCCTGTTCTTTGGTCTTTAAATAAGAACTTAATTTTCTTCAAATTTCCAGGGAATGTATCTTCTGTTTCCTTTTTTTTTTTTTTTTTTTTAAGATTTTATTTATTTGAGAGAGAGCAAGAGAGAGCATGAGCAGGGGGGTGGGGGTGGAGAGGGAGAAGCAGGCTCCCCGCTGGGCAGGGAGCCCAACTCATGATCCCGGAACCCTGGGATCATGACCTGAGCCGAAGGCAGATGCTTAACTGACAGAGTCACCCAGGTGTCCCTATCCCCTATCTTCTGTTTCCTACCAGGACTCTGACCCAAATGCCTAAAATTTTTAATTTCTAAAAACAATATTGATGTTTACTGATCACTAGAAGATCTAGGGATGAGGCTACAAGAGAGTATTACTGCAGAGGGAATGTTTAGAATAAAAAAGAATAGACTGTGCCTAGGAACCTATGGCTTAAATAGCCTATTAAGTCTCTTCCCCTATGATACAGCACTTTCCACATTCAATAACCATCTTTCTGATCTTTTTATAACTTCCAGTGAGGATATCAGTACATTTATAATATCTCTTGGGTCAGCACAGTGCAAGCTATTTTATGGGATATATAAAGATCTCTTAAACAGGACACAAAAAACACTATTCTTAGAAGAAGAAAAATTATAACAAATTGCACTTCATCAAAATCACAACCTATTCAAGAGACATCTTTAAGGAAAGAAAAAGGTAATCACAGACTGGCAGAAGATATCTTTAATATATATATATATCTAACAAAGGACTCATACGCAGCATATATAAACAACTACAAATCAAAAAGAAAATGATAAAAACCCAACTTAAAAAATGGGAGTAAAATCTTACACGGCACTTCAAAAAAAAAAAAAAATACCCAAATGGTTAATAAGCAAGTGAAAATCAACATCATTACTCCAAAAAGCAAATTAAAAAGTCATAATTTTTGTAACTACACACTATCAAAAAGGGTAAAATTAAAAACACAGACAACGCCAGCTGTAAGGACGGGTAACAAATGAAACACACATGGTGGGAGTGCAAAAGGCTACCGCTACCTTGGAAAATTGAGTTTCTTCTAACTAAACACTTGTCTACCCTAAGGACTTGACAAATCTACTTTCAAGTTTATACCTCAGTGAAATGAATACATGACTATCAAAAGATGTGTACAAAAATGTTCACAAATTTTTTGTAGTCATAATAACCCCTAACTGGAAATAGTAAAGGCATCGAGAGATTTTACTATGTATATACTCAGACCTTGTCCTGTGGCCCTGTTTTCAAGTTCCATGATGCTCTACCTCTTAGTTCTTTTCAAACTGTCTTTGGTGAAGTACACCATTCCCCCTGACCCCCACCACCCACCCAATCTGTCACAGAAGACCTCTTGATGGCTTTACTTTAATGTCATCTTCATTATGGTTTTTCCCCTGCCAAATGATTCTATGGCAAACTTCCACACTTCATCAATTTTCATTTTAGGAAAACTTGCGTGGTATCAAGTAGGGATACAGACTCTACAGACTACCTAACCATTTGCCTGCTTGTCACTCTAGCTCTGTATTAAACCTCCTCAACTCTTAAAACAAACCAACAAGCAAAAATCGTTTATCCTATTTTCGACTCCAGGGTACACTGACTCAAGCTCTTCCAAGTCCACGGGAGAGAAAAAACTGTCCTTTCTCATTTCTTTTTTAAGATTTTATTTATTTATTTGACAGAGAGAGAGAGAGACAGCGAGATAGGGAACACAAGCAGGGGGAATGGGAGAGGGAGAAGCAGGCTTCCTGCTGAGCAGGGAGCCCGATGTGAGGCTCGATCCCAGGACCCTGGGATCATGACCTGAGCCGAAGGCAGACGCTTAACAACTGAGCCACCCAGGCACCCCTCTCATTTTATTTCTTAAAGATTTTATCTTTAAGTAATCTCTACACCCAACATGGGACTGAAACCCACAACACCCAGATCAAGAGTCACATGCCCCACTCACAGAGCCAGCCAGGCACCCTGCCATTTCTCATTTTAGATTAAATCGCTAGGGTCTATATTCTGTAAAATATATGACCCCAAATTATTATTTTCTGTGAAGGGCTTTTGGAACCAACAATGTTCTAAACCATCTAAAAGAAAACCTTGAAACGTCAAATCCTAGACAGCAGCTGAGCATGGTTATCTGGAGGAAGAAGTGATTTAACAAATAAGATAAAATCCTTTATTGCCTCCCTTTCAGAGATCAGTAAAGGTTGCAAAACCTGAAGAACCTTAAAAAGACAAGGCCGTTTCAGGCCTATAAAAAGCCTCCAGGAGCAAAACACTAAACTCTTATACCTTAGTGCTCGCTTCGGCAGCACATATACTAAACTCTTACACCTTAGACAAAATACAGGTCCCATAACACATAGGGGTATGGGTAATTGTTACTGGTAGAAAAAACCTGGCTATTGGACAACATGAATGTCTCCCTAAACCACACTGATGTCCATTATTTTGTCCTTATACTTAAAAACTTCTTTTAAGTTCCCCCAACTGCCCCCTCCAATTCTCTAGGGTGTCTTAGTCCATTTGGGGTGCTATAACAATATACCATAGACTGGGTTGCTTATTAACAACAAACATTTATTTCTCACAGTTCTAGAGGTAAAAAGTCCAAACACAAGCTGGCAGATTCACTGTCTGGTCAAAGTTTGCTTCCTGGTTCACAGATTACCTCTTTGCTTTGTCTTCACATAACAGAAGGTGCTGGAGAGCTGACCTCTCTTTTAAAAGGGCACTAATTCCGGGGCGCCTGGGTGGCTCAGTCTGTTAAGTATCTGACTCTTGATCTCAGCTAAGGTCTTGATCTCAGGGCTGTGAGTTCAAGCCTCACATTGGGCTCCATGATGGGCATGGAGACTACTTTAAAAAACAACAACAATGAAGGGCGCTAATTCCATTCTTGATGGCTGCATCCTCATGACCTCATCCCTTTTCAAAGGCATCACCTCTAAATACCATCACACTGGTGGTTATGATTTCAACATACAGATTTGTGGGGGGCGGGGGGGTGTGAGGGGAGGGACACACAAACATTCAGTATATAGCACTGGGGATACCAGAAAACCTTTTCTCTAATTACTCAATATAAGATGAAGCCCTCAGTACATTCAAGAATCTGTGCTATGAGGATACTCTTGGCTCTCCTACCTAAAATACATGAACAAAGATTAATGTTCAGTAAAGTCTATTCACTGAAATTAACCTCTCCACTTTCAAACCCTTAACTTTTAAAGAACTGAAAATACATCAAAATAGAATAATTCACTCTCCTCAGAGCAAGCCCATAGTACAAAAGGTCAAGGAGTAGAAGAAATCAATAAACAACATTTTGGAGACTGAGTTCTTTGAGGTTTTCGGCTTTTTGTTTTTTTGGTCATCATTAAGGTAGAGTGGACTCTTCTAATGGTGGAAGACATAAAAATCAGAAAATTTCTACATATTTTCATATTTCACAAGTGTGTTATATAAGGGTCAGCTGTCTTAGTAAAGAAGAGAACATTAAAGGGGTGATCATTTGTTTGACACATTTACCTTGAATCTTAATTTAAACTATTCATTGTCCTAAGCACATTTTTATCTTCCAAATGAATTATTAGAGTAGACACTATTAGACTGCTCCTGGCCATCTCCACTGCTTACAAAGTCTGAACTACTTAGCCAAGCCTCTACAACCTGGCAAGAAACAAGCCTTACAGTTTCTCCTCTCTCTTCTTTATATACCTTTGTCCACATCCCAACCATTCTCTGTACCTTGGTTTATGTCACCATTTCCCCTGTGAATGGTTTATCCTTCCAATTCTATCTTATCAAATCCTTTTTTAAAAAGATTTTATTTATTTATGAGAGAGAGAGAAGCAGACTCCCTGCTGAGCAGGAAGCCCGACTCGGGGCTCAATCCCTGGACTCAGCTATCATGACCTGAGTAGAAGGCAGACGCTTAACCAACTGAGCCACCCAGACGCCCCTATCTGGTTAAGTCTTAACCAGTTTTCAAAATAAATCTCTAGCACCTCACTGAAGCAAGCCTTCCATGATATCTGAATCTGAAGTGATCTCAACCTCTCCTGACTTTCTCTGTACCGTTGTAGAACTTCCTATGTTTTACTCTCTCCTACAGTTAGGCCTTTCATCCATATAACTTTTTATTTGTTCATTCATTTACCAAGTCCTTAAATCCTTATATGCACTAGGTTATGGGAATACAAAGTTAAATAAAAAAAAAATCAAAAATCTTTTGTTCTTTCATTTTTTTAAAAGATTTATTTATTTATTTGAGACAGAGAGGGAGAGCACGAGTGGGGGGGGAGGGGCAGAGGGAAAGACTCTCAAGCAGAAACCCCCTCAGCATGAAGCCCATTGCTGGAGCTTGATCTCATGACTCCGAGATCATGACCTGAGCTGAAATCAAGAGTCAGATGCTTAATCAACTGCACCACACAGGCACCCCCAAAAACTTTTGTTCTTTTAAAGGCAATTTTAAGAAAGCGAAAAGAACAATCACAGCTGGAAGAAATGTCTGCAGTACACAAATATAATAAAAAACTTGTTTTCAGAACTTTAAAGAACTCTTATTTTTTTCAAGTTTTTATTTAAATTCTAGTTAGTTAAAATACATGGTAAAATTGGTTTCAGGTGTAGAATTTAGTAATTCATCACTTACATATAACACCCAGTGCTCATCGCAAGTGTGCTCCTTAATACCCCCATCACCTATTTAGCCCATCCCCTGCCCACCTCCCTCCACCAACCTTCAGTTTGTTCTCTATAGTTAAGAGTCTCTTATGGTTTGCTTCCCTCTCTTTTTTTTCTTCCCCTATGTTCATCTGTTTTGTTTCTTAAATTCCACATCCCAGTGAAATATGGTATTTGTCTTTCTCTAAGTGACTTATTTGACCTAGTATAATATTCGAGCTCCATCCCCATCATGGCAAAGAATTTGTAAAGAATTCTTAAATCTCAACAATAAGGTACAAATAATCCAATTTAAAAAATGGGCAAAAGATTTGAACAGACCTTTCATCAAAGAAAATATGATTTGCAAATAACAACATGAAAACATGCTCAACACAATGAGACATTTAAAAATGCAAATAAAAACTAAAATACTGCTATACATCCATCAAAAAGGCAAAAAAACAACAAAAAAGAAACAAAACCTAACAATGTAAGTACTACCAAGGATACAGAGCCTTGCTGGTGAGAATACAAAATGGAACAAACATGCTGGAAAACAGTTTTAACTCAAGAGAAATGAAAGTATATATCCACACAAAATGTGTATGTGACTGTTTCTAGAAGCTTTATTCCCAGCTGAAATCTGAAAACAAACCAAATGTTCATCAACTGGTGAGTGGATAAACAAATTATGGTAGATCCATATGGTGAAATACTACTCAGCACTGATAAGGAACTAAAAATATACTTAACAATCGGGATAAATCTTAAAAATCATAATGATTTTTATGCTAAATGAAAAAAGTCAGACACAAAAGGCTACACACTATATGCTATTATTTAAATGACATCTGAAAAAGCCAAAACTACAGGGACAGGGAACAATTTCTTTTAATTAAAGGAGAATTTTTTAATTAACTGCAAAGGCAATTTTTAAGAACTGCAAACATTTATACAATGCTTTACTGTGATGATCCTCACAACATCCTATGAAGTATGCACTAGCTGTATATCCACTTTATAAGAAAATAGAGTTTCAGAGAGATTACCCAATTTGCTCAAAGCAACACAGTGAGTGGAGGCACTGACATTTGAACCTTGTTTTCTGGGGCTTCAAATTTTGTTGGCTTTTTCCCCCTGCTACACTAATAACTTCATTATTGTCAACCTCAGATTTCATAAGACTTGGTTGAGGCCTCTGCTAGTTAAGTTATAAAATGATTTTGTAATTAATAATTCAGATTACATATGAGAAGTGACAAAGTTATTAATTTTTAATGTTTACATCATTTCACATAGTTTGGGACACAGTGGACATTCACATATTTGTGAATGAGCAAAGAATTATTTGCCTTTTCTCACAGGAAAGATAGCAGTGAATTAAAAAAAAGAGCACGTTTCAAACGTAATTGCTATTTCACTTAGGAAAACATTACTTCACTTATATATACACACACATACACACACATATATATATATATACAGGGCACTATACGTAGGGTGTGTCTAAGAAGTCATGGCTTTTAGGAGTCAAAATTTCTGGTGTATGAGTTACTTAAGCTTCAGTATCCACATTTGAAAAAAGAAAATAATACTTATCCCTCCTTTTCCATAAATATCAGGATCAATGAGATTAAGGATTTGAAAAGTCTTTTGCAAATGGTAATTCAATATATAATTACTGTTAAAATATTTATTGTTATCATTCATATCAAGCTGTTCAAAGTAATAGAAAACACTTTCCTTTCTCAAAACCTTTATCTACAAGGAAAAAGATTTTATTTTATTTTATTTATTTTTTTTTTTTTAAAGATTTTATTTATTTATTTGAGAGAGAGAGAGAATGAGAGAGAACACATGAGGGGGGATAGGGTCAGAGGGCAAAGCAGACTCCCTGCCGAGCAGGGAGCCCGATGCGGGACTCGATCCCGGGACTCCAGGATCACGACCTGAGCCGAAGGCAGTCGCTTAACCAACTGAGCCACCCAGGCGCCCTACAAGGAAAAAGATTTTAAAATCTCATTTTCACTAATGGTGATTAATGTTTTATGGTAATGTTTATGTTTTACTGCTAACCAGGAAACCCAGAAGACTCAAGAGTTGTATACTTTATAATGAGTTTATAGTCTAATGTGGTTCAGAAGCTTAAATACATGAGAAAAATCAGTTCACAAAAAGGAAAATCATCCTCCAAATCAAAAATTTGCTGCTAATATTTGGCATTTATATATGGGAATAATTTAAAGAACCAGTAGTTTTTTTCTTTTCAAAATACACTCACCATTTGATCCCTAAAAACCATCTGAGTAGTATGAGAAAAAAGCTTTAAGCTGTAATATTAGAACAAACATAAATAAAATATCTTCCTATAACCAAATATTAAACAAAAGTATTATTTACAAGGGAGAATTAAGTGACTTATGTTACCAAAATGAAGATTAAGCCTTCTTTAAATAGTTCTTATTTTTAAAAATTTGTGTTAAAATAAGTACTTGCGTATTAAAATATGTAGGGATGAGAAGAGGAGGTGAAGGTGGCTGATTACAACTTCTAATTTTGCAAGAGGAACTGTCAGGTTCAAATTTAGTTGAACTTTAACACTAGGTCCCTAATACAACGTCAAATAAAATCAATAAGTATTGTGTAAATATTTATTGCTTAATTCATTTAATTTTATCTTGTGTATGCAAGAAGTAAGGCAGTTAAGTAGCACTTTAAATAAAATGAGAATTGGACAAAACCCATCAAGGCCAACAACTCTCCAAAAAGTTGTAATATGCATGTGTTCCAGCTTAAAAACTTAAATTTTGCAATATTTCAATAAACATATTAACTTGTGATCAGAACTTTTACTTCTGAATTAGTCTACTTTAATCTCTGAAAAAAAAGACGAGCACAATTTTATATAATGTCTAAGACTGGGAAATCTAATTACACCAGAACACTTCTAATCGGCTTCACTTCAACCTACAAATTCGCTTAACAAAAATGCCTTCATCTCCATACGCATACATATAAAGCCACATATGATACATGAATTTCCATTTTGAAAATTATTTCTCTACTTTGGCTCAGAAACGCTCATTTAAGGAAAAACCACACTGAGGTAGTGTTTTCCTTTAAAACTACCGGACAAGGGGGCACCTGGGTGGCTCAGTTGGTTGAGCGACTGCCTTCGGCTCAGGTCATGATCCCGGAGCCCCGGGATCGAGTCCCGCATCCGGCTCCCTGCTCGGCGGGGAGTCTGCTTCTCCCTCTGACCCTCCTCCCTCTCATGCTCTCTATCTCTCATTCTCTCTCTCGCAAATAAATAAAATCTTAAAAAAAATAAATAAATAAATAAAACAAAAAACTACCGGACAAGATTCTCCCTTGAACTCGCGATTCTCCCCGCCACAGGCGGTTTTAATTTGGGGCAAAAGGGTAATATTCTAGATTAAATGACAACTATGGTAAAGTAAGTGGGAGAATTCTTTAGCGGCGGTCAACTTTTGAACCTGCTCGCGGTCTCGGACGCTACTTTAACTATCAGAGAGCATTTCCCGGGAGTTTTAATGGCTCGTTAATCAACTCTTAGGGCAAGGTCCAGCTAAACTTAGCATGATCAGGAAAACGATCTCAAGTAAAACTCGGTTACACAGACGAAGCACCTCCCCACGCCCGACTCCAGAACTCGCCCCTTTTCGACTCAGCCGGCGCGGGACACCGCAACGCCCAAGCAAGGCCCTCTAGCCCCAAGAGCGCCTGCGCACTCTCCACAGTCAATTAAAACCGTCCTTAAACCAGTCGATGCAATGGTTTTGAAATTACTGTCAGGTGATGCCTCACTTTAAAAATCACTAGATATAACAAAGCACACCGGAACGACCACTCACCGAAAGTGGTCCTAAACGCAAACGACAGGGTCTAAGCTTCCTCTCGCGACTTATCTGGTGCTGCCGGAAACGGAACTACCGGTGTCTTCAAGAGGGGTGTATTTATGGGGGCCGTGCGGGCCGTTTGGCACTTGCCGGAAAGCGTTCCGCCCGGTGAGGTTTCTGTGTGAGACGCGAGGCGGGAGGGGAGAGGCGTGACCACGATAAGGGAGGTGTAGTGCTTTGCAGCACCTCTGTGTGACCCTTCAGCTGCTACTGTAGAGAGAAGACCTACGTCCAGGCTAACAGCTGGAGTCTTTTGAGGAACACTTCACTCCTGTCTCTGGGATTAAAGGGGAAGCCGAAACCTGGGAAGGGCACGGCTATCTTCTGCAGCTTGCGTGGCTACTGCAGCAGTAGCAGGTGAGGACGCAGACCCGAGGAGAGCCGAGATGCCGAACTCGGTCACCCGAGGCCGCTGCTGGGCAGTGAGTTGCTTTGTCTTTTCTGCGCTTTGCGGCGCTTAGACACGCGCTCTTCCTAGGGGCATGTGCCAGAGCGAAGGGCATCGTGGGCGTGGAGGAGTGACACTACAGCCTCTTCGCGTCTTAATTTCTCCTCCTCCTCCGTTGTCCCCCTTTTTTATTCCTTGGGTTTGAGATACCCGAAATTTCAGATGAACCCGAAGGGAGCTGCCGAGCGTCCAGCCGGCACTCCAGGCTGTGGGCTCGCTCCTCCAGCCCGGAGTTTGAGGACTGATGTGGGTAGCGATGGCTATTTTTATTTTCATTGCTCAGTCTTCACCCCTCTTCTCCTCGCCGCCTGCACCCCCACTTCAAAAGAACAAAAAGGCCCTTGCGTTGCAGCTTTCCCGAATGAAAACGGAGGCTGCAGGTCGCTCACTGCCTCACCTAATCAGTTCGAGAGTGTTGCACCTCGCGCGCTTCGAGGGAGACGGACCGAGGGTGGTGACCACTGGATCTCATTTACTAGGTTCTGGACTTCTGGGATTTGGCGACTTTTGGATTCCTGTGGGTGATACTTGGTTTGCTTTAGTGAGCTAGAAGGCTTAGATGGGGAAGTAGGAAGCGTGGCTGGCCCTAGCACCCAGCATCCTTGCCCTACACCGGGATAGGGTTTTGTTTTGCTGTTGAAAACTCTTCAATGAAAAATACAGTTTTTGTTTCAGGCAAATTGAATATTGAAGATAACCGCCACTAACGGAGTTCTTAAGTGTGCCAAGTGCTTTACGTATTTTCTCATACACTTCTCTCAACAATTCCATGAGGTATATTAGATTATTATTCTCTCTCCAGAGATAGGTACTGAGGCTTAGAGAGGCCACTTGTCCTAAAAAAAACTTTTGTTACTAGTAAACATTTAAAACTGGATTAAAAGCCACATTTTTTAGATTCCAAAATCTGTATTCTTAATTATACTACTGTTGTCTTACCATTATGCTTCTTTGCTTCCAGTTTCTTCACTAACATTTTCAGTGGTTGAAAGTATTCATTTAAAAAAAAAATACAGTATGCCTATTTATGTGTCTGATGAGATGATCTCTGTCCTCATGGAGCTTCCATATTGATGCAGAATTAAATAGTTCAGAAACCAAAATACTAACTGCAGCATGGGTGTTTTGAAAGCGGATGACTAAACTGATGTGCAGAAGATTCAAAGTTGCACAGTCAGATCTTGCTGTTTTAAGTTTTAAACTCATGACTTGTGGTAGGTGTTGTGAGGATATTACACTTAACAATTGGCGGGACATTTATTGATCACCCATATAAGTGCTATGCACCAGTTAAGTACTAGGAATATACAGATGAGGTCCTTGTTCTCTAAAAGCACCCACACAGCTACATATAAATAGTATTAAGGAACTATTGATTTTCCTAAGTGGAAATCATAATTGGTTATATAGCAAGATGTCCTTATTTTTAGGAGATGCATACTAAAGTATATAGAAATGAAGTATATTTCTGTCTATAACTTTCAAATGATAGAGCAAGTATATGCTAGAAAGTAAATATGGTAAAATGTTAGCAATTGTTGAGTCTAGTGGTGAGTGTATGAATGTACATGTATAGTGAACCATTCTCTCAACTTTTCTGAATATTTGAAATTTTTCACAATAAAAACTTGGGGAGGAAAAAACCCTAACTCTAATGGAAACAGGTAATTGTAAAGATATATCCCAAACGCTGTGGATCATGGAGGATGGGAAAGATGCTGATGTGTATTTAGGGGTTGGCAGAAGCATGATAGTTGTCAGAAAAGCATTTATTGAGGACTTTGCAGTTAATTATTGAAGGAGGAATTGGAACTTTCAAGGACAGTAGTGAATTATAAGTAGAAGGAGAGACAGGCTCAGCAAAATATAGTTCATGAATGTTTGAAGAAGGGAAAAATCAGTGTGAAGGTTTTGTGAAACTTGGCATGGGCTTTTTTGTATACACTTCTAAATGATGCTTGGCTGCCTTTGCCAGCATGCAGAAGCCTAATTTAATAACCTATTATGTAGCTGTAGTAATAGTTCCCTGGAACTGGAGTCACCATTTACAACAGTGCTTTCATTGGAAAATGCTTTTAGGATTTCAGGAAAATTGGTCATGTGTCTGTTCAGGCTCCTCAAGGAAGGAGGCTTTCTGAATACTACATAGGACTGATGGATGATCCATGGTATCATTTTAAGGATTAAGCAGCTTTGACCATGGCAGATCTGTGAAGGAGATGAGTGTTTATTCCAGGCAGTTGTGTTCTTGATAGTCTCAAGCAGTGTGGTAAGATTGGAAAACATGTAATGAGGTCTCCAGCAGCAGCGGCGGCGACAAGAAGGAGTTTCCGTGGCTTCATTACATGGGTAGTAAATAGGTTCCTTCTAAATTGAATTGTTTGTATTTGTTTTGTGCTAGTTAAGTTAGGTAGGAATCTCGGTCTTAATTATAAAAGCCAGCAAGATAAATAAATAGCTAACATTTACTAAATGCTTACCTTGTGCTAATTGCTGTTATGTCTTCATTGTCATTTAATTTGCAAAATAATTAATGAGATTTATCCCATTTTACAGATGGTGGCTAGAGAGTTTCAATAACTTAGTTAAGGACACAGAACCGAGCAACTATCAGAAAAAGCTTTCTAACCCACTTTTGTCAAAGTCGAGAGCAGTGGTTCTCAATGTTGATTTCCAGACCAGCAGTATGAGCATCAGGTTGGAATTTTTAGAGTATCAGGTCCTACTTTGAGACTTTTTAGTTTAGTATTTTAACAAGCCCTCCTGGTGATTCTGATGTGTGAAGTTTGAGAACCACTTCTTTGATTGTGACTACTGAGTAGCATGGTAGTTTCCAATTTAAAAATGAGAGTTGCGTAGTATTTGTCTTCTGAACAGATATTTTACTTTAATTTTTTAATCACCAACTGTTTGAAATTTCATTACACTGTGAAATTTTAATTTGAAAGTTGCATAAAGTGAAGCCTGGCTAGGTACACTAGGGTTTTAATATTTAATAGGGAACCACCAATTAAACTAAAATTAGATCTTTAGGAATAAGAGTTTGGGAGTTAGACTTTGCAGTTCTATCTAACATAGAAAGAAATCTTGTTTTTATTCTAATCTTGTTTTGTTGATTTTTTTTTTGAGTCTAAAATGCAACACGGTTTTATCCCCTGAGCTTTCTAGTTAAAGTCTTTTAAAAATTGATTTGACGAAATTTCAAATTGATTTATAGCTTTCAGTGGGTTTTAAACCCACATTACATTTTATCTGGTTTTGTTTTTTTCTATTCTATTCAGGTATTACTTAACTGTGTTGCAGAGTTATCTAGCTTTTAATGGAATTTTGTTATAATTTGAAGAATTTTCTCATTTGTTAGATATTTTTGGACTTGAATTTAGTGTGTATTTTTGTTGTTACTTTGTTATTTTATTACTTTCTTTTTGTTATTTTTGAATCAGTTTGTCAAATTGATAAAATGTAGGTTATTGACGATGAGAGCCTAATTTTTTTAATTTTATGGAAGCAAATGTCTTTTCATTTGAAGGTATGCATCAAGGTACTGGTCATGATTTTACACGTGTCATTTACTTTTACATGAATGTTTTTGAAGTACAGCTCCAAAATTAATTTTTTCATTGCATTTTAGGTAGAAAGATTACTGCATCAACTCACTGAAGCAATAGCCTCACTCTTTGTCTTTTAAACTTCATCAACAATGAAGCGATGATATCAGAGAACAAAAGAACATTTGCCAACTAACTGTCATCACAATTTCAAGTGCTTGTATAAGCAAAAACAAGCTGCAACAGAGCTCTGTGTCAGCTAGTATAGAGAGAATGGTTTATTTAGGAGCAGTTTTAGTATAGTGCTTTATATCTGTATCAGATGAAATAAAAATGAGTGAGACCCCCAGATTCTTTGTTGGACCTGAAGATACAGAAATAAACTCAGGAAATTATCGACATTTCTTCCACCATGCAGATGAAGATGAGGAGGAAGAGGATGAGTCTGTAAGTTGTTTGTTTGATGAGAAAAGACCAGTACACTATAGGGTTCTTGCTAATCACTGTCAAGGTGAATTAATACTTTCTAAATTGTGAAGACATTTCTGTACATAGAAATTTATTGGAAATCTTCTGTGCTGTAAAAGCATGTTATGTTTCACTAGTAGCATTATTGAATCTATGATGCATCAAGAAATCCAATTAGGGGTCAGACTTTTAAGTTGTTTAATGATGTCTTTCATGATATGTTCACTGGTATGCCTAGCATAACACAGGAATCAGTTGAAAACGTGGCAAGGAGAGAATAATCAGGGCCATAAACCAAAAGGGTTTCTTGTGTGTGGAAGTACCTGAAAAGTACAAACTGAGGGTTCTAGAGGGGTGGGGGTGGGGGGAGGGGTTAGCCTGGTGGTGGGTATTGAGGAGGGCACGTTCTGCATGGAGCACTGGGTGTTATGCACAAACAATGAATCACGGAACGCTACATCAAAAACGAATGATGTAATGTATGGTGATTAACATAACATAATAAAATTTTAAAAAAAAGTACATCAAGATAAAGAAGTAAGTTGGAAGAAATAATTTTAAAGGTACTAAAGAAG